TAGAACAAAGCAGACCAAGAAGCAAGATACAGAGATTTCTACTGAAAAATAAATCTACTTCTCCATAATATTTCTGTGATTTATTCAAATAGAATACAATGGAATTGCCACCTTTATAGCTAACCCGCCCCAAACCTGAGCCCTTTTCTGTATAGCACTAAATTGTTACTATACCATGTAAAGAGCTAACACTACTGGAATGTACACAGTGAAGGAAAAAAAAGTAAAGCTCTTCTTGCCAAAGTAACCATTTTCACTACTAACATGTTATCTAGAAAAATAAGGTCTAGGCAACGTCCAAAAGTGTTCAAGTTTCAATAAATAACTATCAATGCCCCAAGTTTGCACTGGCACAAGAAATATGGAGCGTACAGTTTAGAAAAGTATTTTCATATGACTGAGTCAGCAATGCGTTTCATCCTGCTTAAGATTTACAACAAAAATCATTTCCCTCCAGGGTTCGATTTTAAAACTGCAGCTGTGTAAGTGCAAGAGCACCCACACAGTTGTCTTAACTCTCAGTAGCAAATTAAAGCTCTAGAGAAAGACGGTATTTTAAAAAAAGTTCTTTATCAATACCAAGAAAATATACATAGCCATATTATGTTTTAAATATATATATACACGCACATCTTTTCAAAAGGGTACGATTCTGGCTTTTTTTTTTTTTTAAAGTTTGAAAAGCTTATCCATTGCTATACAGTTCAGTAAGGTGTATTAGGAAACACACTTTTTATATCCCCCATGAAAATAAAGTTGAATCTTTCTGTAAACAGGAATTTCCTTAATTTCCGAAATCTCTGCAGACCTCAAGTACTTCATTGGAAAAAACCCACCTGCCCCCAAACCACCCACGGAGACCTTCGCTGCTGTGTGCAACATCGACAGACCTCGGCAAACGCTTAGCGACACCCGGCTCCTGCAACCGCCTTCTCCGGGCGCAAATAAATAATAATAATTAATAATAATAAGAAGAATAAAAACAACAGAAGAGCGGCGGCGGCGGAGGGCGAGCTCCTCGG